CAATGCAAGTAGATAACAAGAGCGCTAAGAGGTCGCCGTCACCATCACCATCACCATCACCGGACGCCCCAGGGGAGAAGAGGGCCCGTTTAGATTGAGGGCTTTGGATCTTATCTACCACTTTCGTGGATAAATAGGACCTGGTAGAAACAGGACCGAAATAGGGGATTCTAACAGGTATAAGTTTTTACAATGAAACAGGGTTTTGGATCTTTTTCCTAATTTCGCAGAACCATTAATAGCCAGGAAGTAGAGTTGTGGGATGAATCGGATGATGAATGAAAGGGGTTTGAGATTATTAGTAGATTATTATAATGGTAGGAGGAATGTTTTGAATAAGGTCATTCCACTTGTTTAGGGTTTATTTGACACCATGTATTTCATTATCAAATTCAATGAGCAAATGCAAATTGATTGACTTTGTACTACACAAGTTATGAGCATAAACCAGACTACCTTTGTGGATACAATCTGCCACAGAGAAGTTGATAGTTTCACAGCTGTCTCAATGCAGAAGTTGCTAACTTCACAACGTCTGCTCTTACAAATGAAATGACAGGTATAGGCTGAATCTGTGTGCACCTCCTTAGAAACGATAACAGGAATTTGCAATAACTTTGCCTTCTAGGAAATAGACCGACTATACTGGGACAACCAGATTATGCAATTTCACAAAATCATCCAAGGTAGCTCCTCTTGTCTTGACTACAAGTGTGGTCAAAAGTGTTAGTGAAATTAAGGAAAGTGCCATGAGGTAAAATGGTTATTATTATCTTTTGTAGAAAGTTTAATTCAACAACAGTCTCCACTCGGAGCAGCTAACCGCAGAGGAGGCGAGAATCTGTTCCACAGAATTTTACACAGGGATGTCTCAAGAACTCTAGTGTTGCTGGAAAGTATGTTGTATGCTTCTTTCGAAATGTACTCTTTTTGCCCTCCTGCCGACAGTACTCTTTGGGTTTTCCTCATTCTTCTTCAAGACTGTTCTGGACAGCAAATCATCCAACAGCTCAGCTTCATCAAGTTCTCTTCCCCATGGCTGTCTTCTCCACTGGATGCTCCAACACCACTCACCATTATGCCAGGCACCCGCCTCTGCAATTTTCATTTCCCTGGAAACACAGTCTGAATAATCTTGGTAATAACAACTTAAGAGCAACAGACCCTCCCCACACCTCATTTCAATACCTCACTCTTTTCCTATTCCCTAATTCCCACCCAAATCCTCCATCAAACACTGTAACAAATATCCAAGACCTGTTGGTCGGAGTAAAAGGAGTTTAGTTCCCCTTAAGCAAGATCTCGACTTTGAGTCTTGTGAATGAGAAGAGCTTTCCCTTAATGGAATCCGACTCGGCTTGATTCTGAATTAGTTGAAACCCAATGTGGTTACCGGATACCAAGGGTTAGTAAAAAAAAAAAAACACTGTTTTAATAGACTCATTAACACTGCCAATACCTAGCACATCCCCCCACAGCCTTGATACTGACTTAGACATTATGCTCTTTACATCTCAACAATCCTGACCCCCATGATACTTCTCAATTAATATCATTTTCCAGGAAGACTCACTTTGCCTCCCAAATCGAGCACACCACTTCCCAAGAAGAGCAACATTCCTGGTAGACAGATTAGAACCCTCCCTGATTTTTAACTAGACAAACCACCTCCCACCTAAACCAAGCAATCTTTCTCTATCCCCCGAGCCCCTAAAGATAAGATAAGCAATCTTAGTTATGAGCCTGTGTTTGCGTACCATATCAAGTCTACTTCTATAAGGCAGTTAAAAGCAGATCATCCATGTCAAGATTAAGGAATTAATCAAGAAAAATGGGATGTGAACCCTTTCAACAACCAAATTACATTTTTATAAACAATAATTAGGGGTAAAGGGGAATCTCAAAGCTAAAACCTAACAAACTTTCTATGTGATCTTAAACCACTAAGGCCATGTTTAATTCAAATGTTAGAAAACCTTTGATGGTAGATAACAAACGCTTGATAATTGCTATTATGTATAATTCAAACACCTTTATTCGTCTGATTAGAGAAAACATCTATTAGCCATTCTCTATCAACTAAACCAAACAGGACAACACTTTTCCAGCATAAAATTTATGATATCTTGACGGATTAAAATAAAGCAGTAAATAATGGACTCTCAAACCATTACTTAGAAAGAAACAAACAAAAATTTTATAGGAACCCATGTCTCAACTCTGAACATATAGAAATGTTTTGTAACACAGTTTCCTATGACATGAAGGAAGAATGACAAGATAACAACAAAGTTAAACATCACCTTGTGCACTGGAAATTCATCTAGGACTGACCATATTTTTTTAATTAACATGAGCCATTGATGGAAGAAACAGGAACGCTAAGACTGACCCAAATTCAGAACTCTCACAGATCACCAAGGTCCTCATAATGGAAGGATTGATTCATTTCATCAGCCAAATCAAATAAGTCATCCATTTTTGCAATTTCACCTTCAATAATGATGCATGCTTCTTTCTCCTTTTGTGGCTCAGGAACTTGTGGCAGCCCTGGAAACAGAAATTCCTGAGGCAGCTGTGGCTGCCGCTGTTGCTCCTGGACAGCATCGTTGATGGGGGTGAGCCAATTTACTGAACTTCCAAAGCTAGGATCTCCAGCATCCAACATGTCAACTTTTTCCATCATAAATTCTCCACCATTACCAATTGCCAACTGATGAAATCCTTGATTGGTCTCTGGAAAAGGAGGATCTTGATATATGAAGGGTGATAGAGGCAGACCACTTCGAGTTGAACCTACATGATTAATGATATTTCCAGTGCTGCTGCAGAGACTCTCTGGAGTATAGCGTCTAACTAGTGGTTGAAATACTGTCATTGCTGATTGTGAATTTGGAAACTGAAGAAATCCCTCACTCAAAGTGAATGGAGATAAAGGAGTGTTTGATGCAGAATCACCATAAAAGGTCCTCTGAGCTACATCATGTTCCCGTTTCAAGGAGAGACGGTATTTCTGCAGAATTAAAGCAATCATGATAAATCACTTTAAGAGTCATTATCTTGTAGAAGAAAGTATATTTTTTTCTTGAAGAGAAAAACCTGTAAATGGCTTGAAATATTTTCTTTTGTCAATCCAGGGACATTCATACGCTGAAGTATTTTCTTTGGAAGAGCTTCTGAATGAAAAGGAGATTAGGCTACTGTAACTTTCCAGTATACCAAACAGGAAAAAAAAAAAAAAGAAGGAGGATCAATCAGAATTCAAGTTTAGAAAACTTACTTTCAATGCCTAAAAACCTGATAGCTTGTAAAAACCTATTATGAAGTTCATTGGTCCAAACTAGTTTTGGCTTCTTTAGCACAGCAGAATCATCATTATCTTCCTCCTCATTTCCATTCGCTTCCTCCAATACCTTCCTTTTGCCAGATCGTTGATTCTGCTGATTCTGTTCATCTGTCAAGACTGGAGTCTCTAAATCCTCATCTGATGAATTCCCCTGTGGCAGTTTCTCCTGACTGCTTTCTATCCCATTGGAAACAGCCAACCTATCTCTTTTACTAACGACTGCAAATTGCCATAGATATCTCAGATTGTTCATGGTGATTGGTTTCACCAAATATAATACAGCCCCCTTAAACAAGCCTCCTAACATGGCAGTGCAATCTAGGTCGGCAGACATTACTAAGAGATCAAAAAGGAATAAAAAATAAATGTGAGAAAGAATCTGCACAGGAAGAACATCTTCCAGTAAAAGAGGGAGATACTTACTCACAACAGGCAGCTTAGAAATTTCCCCAATTGTCTCCAGGAACTCATACTTATCCATATCAGGCAGGCTACCCTCAGCCAGAACAAGGTCAATCTCATTTTCTTTGTCCTTAATGATGCAGAATGCATCATAGGCTAGTCTAGTGGTCAAGACTGCAAATCAAAGCAAAGCAGAATCCTTAAGCATAAGAACTGTAAAACCATCAACAAGAAAATCTACATAGAAATTGAGAATTCAAGTGTCAGTTCACCTCTATATCCAATACAGCGAAGCATTTTTGATATAGTGGTAAGGCATGTAGAGTCACAATCCACCAGCAAGACAGTGCAACCACCTTTAGGCAAGTGACTAGAGTTTTCACTGGATTGAAGTAACATATCCCTTTTTCTTGTCATGGTGTTTGTAGTAGAAAGAAACTAGACCAAGCTAAAACTCCCAGTTCTTTTATGGAGTGATTAAGGTAGGTGGAGGAAACAAGAAAGCTATTTTACCTCAAAGAGCAGGAAGATGGAAGGAAATTTATATGGTAAAATTGACTTGGACAGCAACAGAAAGATGCCATTTATACTAAGTTAAGGGTCGCCAGCTATGCTGAAAAAGTTTCCATGTAGAAAATTTTAAATATATTTCCTAGCAAAGCATGAATAAGTTGCCTTCAGAGATTTAACCTTTTTTCATAAAAGTGTATACTTCTGACTAATTTGAGTAAAGAGATGTTAGGCCATTAATGCCCTCATAATGTTTACAGGGAATCATATCTGGGAAACTGATTAGAATAGATGCAAATTCCCGGGTCAGATCTAAGCCCGGTTGAGGGCAAATACTTTGAAAACTCCACTCATTTAAGAATGCCAAAGTTGACCTTTATTCGGACTCATTTTTTATATTTGAGTTCATTAAGGTTTAAGCCCACATTAAAGCTCAATCTCTTTTGTATTTAATATCATAGTTAAATATAAGAAAATTTTTAATATATAACCAAGCAATGGTCAAGCTTGGTAAAGCTCAAACTCATATTTACTAATACAATAACACTTAAGCCTTGCTTGTTTATGATAAACAAGTCAAATTCCAAGCTTAATTCTTAACTCAGCTCATTTATTAAAGAAAGGAGCTGAGTTTTGTGACAAGAATGGCACGACTTGCTTCAATCCCTACAATATGTTTCAAATGTTTGCATTGAATGTAGTGAAGGAAAGGAAAGGAAAGGAAAGAAATGGAAATAAATGGTTTTAAAAGGAATTATTCATGTTTACCTTATCTGCATAGGCTATGAAGAAAGGAAATAGGGATGGCAATTTGCCCCATGTCCCATTATCACCATTAGGAATTCCATGGATCAGATGGGCACGTTGCAAAGAATTCACCCCTAAAAGTTTTGGCATGGTTGAGATTTACTCTTCCTTGGCTGGGGTCCCCTACCCCACCTGACGAAAAGTAAACTACATATTGCTTTTATATATTATTTTAATATAAATAACCTTCTTGTGTGGTTTTTCTAAATGCCATTATCTTGTCAGATTGATTTCATTGATGGTATGGAGAATGTTGATTTTCTGTTTAATTATGAGTTGAAACTTTTTATTTGTAATGTGCTTATCAACATTATAGACATTAATATTCAAGTTTTTTTTTTTTTTTTTTGTTCATTGCTATTTGATTTATTTTCTTTGTGTTATTTTCATTTGTGAATTTTTTAGGTCATTATTTTCTTTATGTTCACTTGTTTGGAAAATTTTAGCATATTTTTATTTCAAATTTAGTTAAACTTTCTAAAATAATAATTTTATTATTATTATTTAAAAAAAAAAAGAGACACAGGTTTCTCACAGGGTGCATGGATGGGGATCACCCCATTGCCCCACTCGCAGGGCAAGGACAGGGCACCCAATTTCATGGAGGCTCACCATCCACATCCTGCCCCATTTCCATCCCTAATCAGCCTTACCATGGAATACTTTCAAGACATTCTTTTTGTATGTGAAGTGCAGAAGAAACTGTCACAACTACCCATGTCTTCATCTAGATTGCAGAAGTACATTTTATTATTTAGCTCTTTGGAGTAGCTCACATTAAGCTTTCAAGAATTTTTTAATACATAGAACATAAGTTTCCATTCTGATTTCTATTGCAGTTTCAGCAGCATTGAAAATATTCAGATTTTGGAGATGTAAAGCATAGATAGAGCAATCAAAGAAAAGAGATACTGAAATTATATTGCTTCAAATAGAAGATAGACATAGTTATGCTATCAATTAGAAAACAGATAAACCTAAACACTAAAAGCTAATCACAAAATGCCTGCAGCTTATGAGCAACTTATGGACAATTACATGTCCAGAAGCAAACATAACATTAGATGATAAGCTAAATAGGGGAAAGGAAAGGAAAGGAAAGGAAAGAAAAGGAATATTTTCCTCTAATTAAACGATGGAAGGGGGACCAAACCTTAATTCAATTGGAGGAAAATCCCTTCATATCATTTCCCATCCCCTCATCCCCTCAATTCAAACACATTATTAACTTTGCAGTGACAAAAGATTCAAAAGCTCCAACTATCCTAGCCAAACAAAAGGCGACGTCTTACGGTCTTAGAAAGGTTAGGACTTGAAACTTTCCTCTTTCCTTTTGATGATCCATCACCCAGATTAACAGAAGTCTCAGATAAGTCTCCTCCTGATTTTTCCTGAGATTGTCCTTTGGTTGAGCGATAAAATTCAGTAATACTAAGCTGGATGCCTCTTGGTTTTGGTGTTTTAGACTTCTCACTGGACTCAGCAGATCCCAATGTTGGAGTCTTTTTTCTTTTCGATTTTTTCAGTTCCTACCCAAGTTCAAGGACAAACCAAAATATTATGCAACAGCTCTAGGGGATGTAACATTTCTACATTTCTAGAATCCTTATATGAGAACAGGATTGATTAGCATATTTTCTTATAACAGACCTGATGATGTTTCACTTAGATTTAAATCTCCATAACAACAAAGTGCAGGCTACAGAGTTGCAAACTAGAATCAAAACAAATTGAATAAGTTTTTGTAAACTGTAAAGTCAGCCCAACATTGACCTTCATCCCTCCAACATAGTGGGTTTTTGTTCATCTTTTCGTACATATCATCAGTAACTTATTACACATGCATCCCAGTCTAAACTTACCTGTCTTACCCATTCCAAGTTGTCACCATCAGCCTTACTGCACTCATCCATGGGCATATAACCTTCTAGTTGCCTAGCATCATTCAGTACAATGAATTGTTTCCCCTTTCATGTTAACAGTCAGCAAGCGTTCACTAGAATTTTCAAACATCTGGTAACTAACTATTGGCACAACCACTAGCATCTAGATTACCAACCCTCAATTGCCATTCAATTGCCTTACTTTCATTCTTTCATCACCCCAATAAGTATATTTTTTTTAATAGTTATAGAATAAGTATTCTTACTATACTCTTGTCCCCTTTTGACAGTGGGAATTAATTTTAATATATACTGTTTTAAGCTGCTATAACCTTTTAGATTCTTAGTGCAAAAGGAAAGATGACTTAAGAGAATCATATAACAAGAAAATTTGTTACTAACAAAAGCCTGTTTCAAAATACCTACAACATAGTTCTAGATATATATATAAAATAATAATAATAATGGCAACTGGCAGGGAAAAAAAATGAAAGAGGATCCACAAAACAAAACAAAAAGGAACCACACCTTTTCCTGTAAAAATCTGGCAGTTTCTTCCGGAAAAGTTGAATGAACGAGATCCATAGCTTCATCTGTCAACAAGAACCAACAGCCATTGTCAACGTGAATCTGGGGTTCAATGGACTCATCAAGCAAATCAATGGGTTCACTGGCTTCTACAAACTGTTCTTGCTGCAGACCATACCCTTCAACAGGAACAGTACACATGAGACTGCCTGCTGCTGATGTGGCTTTCTTCCACTTGACTACAAAAAATTGATGTCCATATCTCATCTTCACACGCTGAATAGAATGAAATTCATATTGCCCATACAATAAGATTTTCGTTGGATTTGTGGCCATTTCTCTCAAATATATAGTTGATAGCATGGGAAGCATCCGCTGACGAATGTAAGATGGCTCCCAGTGCTGATGGAAAACCAAGAAATCAACTATCATATCAGTATTTGGGTGATCCCATAATAGTGAGGGGCCAGCTTCTGCTGCAAAATAGCATGCTTGATATCACACCATTGTGTTCACAATAAAACCAATATGAAAGTTGAAAGAAGCACCAAGAAGAAAGGCTTGGTTAAGACATAGGCAACATGAAGGAAAGAGAACCACACATTCATCATATAATCAAAATTTTCCACAAGTTCTAGGACTCTAACAACTGAGTAACTGACCAGCATAAGTAGGAGCATACCAGTAAACTTTCCATGATTGTCACACAGATACATTCCAATGATCTCATCATTCGGGAAATTTTTCTCTACAGTTATCTTTTCACAAATTCTAATCCACCAGTCCTCTTGCTTCTTCTGCTCCTTTTCTTCCCTATCCTGATGTTGAAATATAATGAAGTGCTTTTAAGTTTTAACAAGGGAAGGGAAAAAATCACATTTTCCAAAAAATGTTTTTTT